TAGCTAAGTGGCAAGTAAATTTATCTAAGAATATCCAAAGCAGGAATAAAATTTAATATTTGCAACTTCTGAAGAGGTGATAATTAGAAAGTGATAATTTTGTAAGTATAATTCGTTTTTGATAGATTTATACGGTCCGAATTCGTGCACGCAGTTAACTGACATTTCATAATTGGAATTTTATAATAATCATCAAAGATTAAAGCCAATTGACCTCTTTCAGTCCTGTACATCAATATTCTTCCATCTCAGGGGGAGGTTCACATCGTTATGAAATTTTAGTTTAAGATGTTTTAAATGAGATATAAAAAATTACAACCTGAGGGCAATTATAAACTATATATCGAACTATTTGAGTGCAACACCGCCCAGCAACAGATAGCAAAAGCCAAAAATTATAATAACGGAAAAACTACAATTTTCATGTTTATTTTTTATGACCGACTCCTTGAATTATACTGGTGGGGGTCATCCTTTCCACATGGTGGTTCAATTTTTCTACGGTATCTACCCTGGGTGATCCATGACTAAAATCTCTATGGACTTTGCGGAGAGAATCAAAGTATATAAAAGCCACGGAAAGCAATTGATTTGGATAGATGACCTCAAAAATATTTATTTTGGATCCATTAATTGTCTGTCAAACACAGTTTTTGGAGTCTATCACGCCCTTAGAATTCGTACGTGACTTTCATTTGTTCATGACCTCTGTGATATTAAAAGAGGTCGTATTCAAGCAACTGTCTTGTTTCCTTTCCGAGCAAGGTTCCCATAATTTTATGAGGCCACCCAATGTGACTACATCTAATAAGAATGTTTAAATTTGTTTTGTAAAGGGTTGGATAAAAAAATAACATGTTACGTTATGTATACATCCTTATGTATGTAATGTTTCACTACTAGCTTCTGACACAGGAACGGAACAATTATGCAATACGAAATAAAACTGAATAAATCTATATTAGGCTTGAAAAAATGTTTAAATCTTTTCTTCTTTTAAACTGTTTAATTTAAATTATTAGTGATTTTTCTTTGAACTTTGAAGCAATGAGTATAGCATTCAGAAATGTTGCCAACATCGCGCGAAGTTTGTTGCCCTTCGAGTCTTTCATCTCCAGGTCGGAGTAATTGCTTTGAGTTGTATTCACCCTTGAGCTGGAGCTATCTCTCCACTATTTTTCATTATGGATTTGCATTGTAATCAAATATCAAAGGATATCGTGGTCGTCATCGAAGACGAATGACAATCGAATTGGAACAGAATCCCAAAAAAACAATAATCTGTGAAGACAATGATGGAGATGATGACTATGATGATAATGATTAATTGAAAACAGTAAGTATCCGCAAACTTAATATTTCAAAATCATCACTAATTTAGAATCTTTATGACGAACGATCAGCCGCTGTATATTCAATTTATACATGCCGGGGACACAAGATGAGGTAGGGATTTTATTTCTACATGGCAGTATTGCAACATGTGCTTTCACAGGGATGGAGTGTCAGAGACGTTTCTCACATGTTTGAACCTTATAAAGTAGCCAAAATGTTGGACTTGACTACCAATAAAACAGGCAATCTCCAATAAACACAACGTCACGAGTCGAAAGAACATCGAAAGTCTCTTATGGATGTATGAGATCACGCTTTCTTCCACTATTATCTCCCATCATGAATGTTTCCTCCCGACACGAAAAAGCAAAAACAATCTGATCACAAACATTTATACCGAGTTCATGTGATTCATCATACTAGATACTAACATAAAAACTTCCGTATTTTGACAAGCAATTTTCTCTACCGACCCTACTTCAAGTGGACGATGGGTTTGAAAAATTTAGCATTAAGTGTTTTTCTGCTACTCTAAATATCAACATCCTCAGGACACGTGCTGCTCCCTGAAGTTCATTCAACAGGTGCCCCACTGAGTCAACACTCTGAATCACACATGATCGAGTCTACAAAACGCGTTAGCACATAAAAGAAATCCCTGTCTAACCAGTCAACACCGTACAAATATTCTGAAGAAATGTAACAGTAATTGAAAATTATCGGGAGCCTGAGGGTGATGATTATAGATTTATGATTATTATTTAATTAATAATATACATGAATGCATTCCTTTACGAACGTGTGTAATTCTCCATATTCGAAGGCGCGGCCCTGTTATACACTTACACTCACATTAATTCACTTTCTCCTTTCACTTTTGCTACGGTTGGACAAATGCCTTTCGGATCATAAGATTATTATTTAAATGTGTAGTTTAAAAAATCTTGTAAAAGATAACGATCATCAAACTACTCATAATTCTAGGAAAGTTTCTCTACCATTGTAGTGCAGTACACGCAAGTTCTCACGATATAATACAACTTCATAAAGCATTGAATTATTCAAATCCAGAACCCACACGTTCAATGAGAGAATATAGCATAGAATATCTTTTTATCATGCGTAAGGAATGTGGAATTGAGAGAGTATACACTTGTTCTATGTCTATGAAATGTTTGCACGCAAGTGGAGTAATATATAAATTAAACACTCATTTCAGTGTATTAGGTTTAACATGGAAACAATTGCTTACAAGGAATCATTTTCCATGCACATAGGTTCTTCACTCTCTAACAAGTCTAAAAAAAGATTGCATTCAAGAAAAAAATATAAGTCCTTTGATTTCATACGAGATTAAGATAATAAAAACGTAACACACATTAGTGGATTTATTGTCGTAAAAGTGAGTCGGAGTTAATACGTAAGTACAAGTAGTTCGGGGTAGGTTTAAGCTTCGAAGAGTTAACTACTGCATGCTCATCTATTCAACATTCGCGTGTATAAAACTACACGTATCTTCTAAAACTGAATTCATCTCATCAAGATGCAAATTATCTGATCAGGAACAGATAATTACATAATCTTTATATAAAAACATGATCAACGGATGAAGCATATGTTGATATTATCTTCTTCCGTAGACGAGTTTTTTTTTACGCTCACTCCAAACGTTATCCACCCACGAGTGATTTCCACAGGAGCGACGCGGGAGCGCGCCACTCTAAATGAGGGCTCACATGCAGCGGAGACTCGACCCGCTTCGCCTCGCGTCGCCTCACGCCGCCTCCGCGTTCCTCGCCCTCGCAATCGCACGCGGCCCGGGCCGCTACCTACAGGCGACCCTCGAACGCTTAGACGGGCGCGGCTGCGGGCGGCGCGGGCGCGGGGCCGCGGCGGCGCGGGTTGCGCTATGCCCCGCGCCCGCCCGAGAGGACACTCACCCCGATCTGCTCCCATGGCCCTGCTGGTGCGACTGGGGGCCGCCCACCAGGGTCACTCTCTCGGGGCAGCAGCTGTCCGGTCTGCAAGACCACTCCGCCCGCACCGCACCTGCCCGCCGTGCTCGACACGGACGAGCCCTGGACGTGCCTTTCTGTCCTCGCCCGGCTTCCGTACGCGATCTCGAACCCCCGCGCATTCTCATCGAAGCTCACGCACACGCGCTCTTGTCAACCGACGTACGTCTAGGTCCCCGTGCGCGTACACTCGCCCCTCGGCCTTCGTCCCTCGTTGCCGCCTAGCGGCCCCGCGATCTCTCGTGCACGACCCCTTCCAAGCTCCGCTCACAAACCTAACACCCGAGCGCATCCGCGCGCGCCGGCTTTACGTCATTGCTTGCGCCGGCCCGGCCCAGATCACGCGCTGCGTCCGCCCCGCGTGTTATCGCTCCTGCGCGCCCTTCTCCTTCCTCCTTCGTTCCTCGATGCATCCCCCTCACGCCCTGCGTCTCCCTCTTCGCCGCCTGGCGGAACGCCCGACCCTCCCGCGCGTCGACAGCAGCGCCCGTGCAGACTCGCTCACCTCCGCCAGGCAAGCAATTTGTGCCCCCACCACCGCCTCTCGCCACCCGACGCCGCGCCACGCCGCGTCCGACGAACACCGTCGGTAAATGACGACTCTCCTTTTCAAATTTACTTCGCTTCCAATTACTTCTCGCGAGAATGACGTTCATAACGCTCCCCGCGTTCAACCACTTCTAAGGATGCGTTTTTTAAAAAAAAATATACGGTCGCAGGCGTGGAGGAAAAAAACGTGGTCTCTACAGATTCGCCTGCAAAGACAGCAATGCAAATATCAAAACTGCGTCTCTTGAGTAACCAAAGCCCTCACGCTAAAGATACTCTTGCAACGGTGCCCGGAGGCGCCCGATGCCCGAACCTTTTTTTCACTCTGTTTTTTCTTTGTGTGACGGGCAACTCCGCGCAGAATATAAGACGAGATATTTTTTTCTGAATGCGCACAGGCAAATCGTGAGCCCGCGCGTCCGGCGGGGACGCGGCTGGGCCGCCAGTCTCGAGGGCGACCGGCGAGACGGCGAGAGGAATTGGCGGTGCGCGGCCGTGGAGACGCCTCCCTGGCGGAGAGCACGGAGAGGTGTGGAGGCGTGTGGGCGGGCGAAGGTTCCCCCTTCCGCGCGCCGTCTCTCACTTGCTGCTTCTGGTCGTTCCCGCCCGCCTGCCGCCTGCCGGCCCCTTCGGCTGCCGCCCCCGACTGCGCCGCTGGCAAGGGCCCTTCGCGCCCACGCGCCCTGCCCGCTGCCCCGGCGCTGCGCCGCCTCGCCTATCAATCTTCCGCCGCCGCGTGCGGCTTCGTTGCTCCTCGCCAACGCGTGCGACGCTCCGCCCTGGCAGCGGGCGCCTCGCCTATGGGCCCGCGCTACCGCACGCTGACGGCCGCTTCTCCATCGCTCGACTCCTCTTCGCTGCGTTTATCTCCCCTGCCATGCTACGAGCTTCTACAATAATATAACTTTTCCGCTAAAACCTCTGATTTCGCGCGACAATACTCCTGCCTTCGCTTTCCCCCCTTTCTTCGTTCCCTCTCTCAACAAAACCCCCTCTTTTTCTCGTGTCGGAGACCCCCTCTCTTCCTACAGTATTTTAGATACGCATTGCATAGCACCCTGTATTGCAAGAACCCACACGCTCCTCAGCGCCTCAGCGACGTCACTCTGCCTTCGCACTGCCGCTCTCACCAACTCCTACTCCTATCTCCAATGCAACCCGCTGTACACTGCTCCGTGCGCTGCTGAGGATTCCAGCTCGTTTTCCATCGTAGTCTCTTACTTTGAGCATAGTTTTAAGGCAAGTACGACTGTGATTTAAATGCAAACAAAAGATGACGATTTTATAAGATTCAAATATTTCAAACAAAGTACAGAGGCGTCCCGGAAAATCCCGAATTGTTTCTGCCATTGTTTTTCGTAATGAAATTGCTGTTAGTTCAGTTCCCAGAATACCGAAGTGCAACACAAAGCAGTCTCTTAAAGTAAAAAGATGACAATAAAAAAAGGAAGATGCACTTCAAGAATACAGAACACCGCCAAACCTGTTATTAGTATATAGTACTCAAATGGAACAGTAGAAATCTTCGTATAGCGCACGACCGGGGTTAAGTGAGACAACGAAATGAATCAACTGACAACAATAATGAAGTAACTGATATAACATTATACATTTTTTAATATGAAACAATTGTTGTATAAAGTGTTGATAACAACTAATTGAGATTATAACAAAAAAGTCCTGGAGACTGGAGAGTTTCTTCGACCACTCAGACTTAATCAAAGGTGGTCACCCTAAACATAAGATTATAAGACGCCCTCCTTTTATAGACCATTAGCGAGGGCAGCGTCATATATTCCGGCAGATATGGCAATTCCAAATTCATTTAGTACTTTCTGAAATTTCAATTAAGTATCGACTGTACGCCTAAATAAGAATGCGGGAGTAATTAATGTTAATAACACAAATTTTGGGAAGCGTCCTTTTTACGTAGAGTAAAAGAGACGAGTAAGAACAACCACGCTTTAAAAACTGCCTGTAGATTTTAAAGAGACAAACGTGCATCACGGAACTCATACTTTTTCTCTGCATTTCGCATGTTTTGTAGTTTCATCAGAACTAATGAGTAATGAGTCAGGTGTTACCAATACTCCCCTTCCATCCCCACACTGCATCTACAAATACGAGTAAAAATATCTTTGTGATAACCTCCATTTTCCCCCTAACGAAATGTGTACGACCAGCATAAGCAGGAAACGCTCGTTAGAAGGGTTCCTTGGTCCTTAAAACTAATTGTGCGAGGCGCGTTGTTTCGTCTGCTTCCGCCTGGAGCAGCACCTGCCCCACCGCCGGGGTGCTCGTACTCCTTACACCCACGGCCGGTGCCTACGTCAAACAAACGACTACGTCAGAGCCTCACACCATTGCGCTCTCCCCCGTCAAAACAATCTCGTTGTTACGTCTGAGGGCTGGAGCAGACAGTTCTAGTTTCTCACGCTCCACTTCTTTATTTGTGTCGGCCCAGATTTCTTTATACAACTGTCTCTTGGACTCTGACCTACTCTATACACCTGACTTTTCATTTTCCACAAACCACAGACATCGTTAAATTATTTAAAGAGATACATACCGCAAGTAATACGACGAGAGTGTTACAGTTTCGAACGCTGAGACCTTTCATAGAGTTATATGTTTTCCACCCAACCATGTTGATGGCCCGTTTAATCAAAAAATTAAAATTATACTGGAAAATTCAACGAAACTAAGGGTGAAAAGGAGATACATAGAAAGCTCCTACAATTGGTTTCTCGCTTATATATCGTAAATTATACATACTAGAGAAAAGGCTATCTCATTTATAATGACAGCTGATAAAATTTCCTATATAATGTTTCTGTTCATATTATTCTATTCCTCAAAACTTTCGAGTTATTTGCAAAAGAAAATCCAATATTATCGAAAAACAAAACATATTATTAAAGAAACGCATTTTAGTATCTTTGTCTTTAAATTTACAGCAATGATCTCGCAATACAAGTTATAGAGAACTAAAGTTCCTTCAAAATTATTTATTACTTGTTATTTTATCTTCAAGTGATCAAAAGTTAACGAAATTCAAATATTGAACCGTTTCAATTTCGTCTCTTAATGCGTTAACACAAGAGTAAAGTTTCAGGTGCATGACCGTACTTTTACTTTTATTCTACATCAGAAAAATAAGGATAGAGAATGTTGAAATTTGATATTCCCGAACGCAAAATAACGTATCATTTCATAATCTATTTTAGAGTTGCAGAATCAGTATTGAACCTTGTGATTTAATTCGTCAGAAAATGATGTACTTTACGAGTCACCACTTCCTCGGCGAATGCTTGCCAACATTTCGAATACCGTCTTCCCTCTCGCAAGCCACTAGTGCTGGAAGAGCCACGACTCTTGGCTCTACGCCCGAGGAACAAATAGTTCTCGGAAGTAGGTAGTTTTCCATCTCAGAATTTGCAGCTGATTATGGTCTAGGAATATAGTGACATCATCAAAATCCATCGTAGACGGTATATATTCTATAACTGTTTGATTATTCCGTATGTTCAGAATACTGCTTTCATGATTTATTTAAATTGGTCTTCATGTTTACAACATATTGAGTGTATAGACCCTAAATGGTCTAGTCAATATAGGGGGTGAGATATTTGTTCTGAACAACGTGAAATATAATAAAGTATTGCTTTAGTATATTCTCATAAGAATAGTGAGTATTAACTATATATATATATATATATATATATATATATATATATATATATATATATAGAGAGAGAGAGAGAGAGAGAGAGAGAGAGAGAGAGAGAGATAGGAGATACACATATTAAAAATACTTAATTTTTTGCCTATTAGTAAGTAACACTTACTGAACGGAAATAAATAAATTTGCAGAGACGGTGACAAAGTACACAGTTTTTGTGACAGAGAATTAGTTGCAACTTCGTCTCAAAAACGAAACTTTTTCTTGAAGTTGGAGAGAATTTCCCCATTCAACAAAAGAGATTCGTATACCAGAACATTTGCACTTTTTCGTTTCCAATAAGCCCTCTTAAAACGTTCTCTTGAATGTACACGCCAAAAATGACGGCTAGAATAAGCACGGATATCTCAAGGTAATTTTAACTTACTTCCTTTCAACCCGAAACACAAAAATTTCTAACATTTTTTCACAGAGTAACAGTGCATAAGAATACTGTAATGCCCTTACACCACTACCAATGAACTGTGTGTATTTGATCTTTTATCGGGGCCAATTTTGACAGTATGATATTTATGGATTATTTATTGTATTTTAACATTGTTTCTGTAATTCATTATAATCCAGAATTCTTTTAACAAAATACGTCCTCAAAAACGAAACTTTAACATTTCCACACTTTAGAAAATATATTTTAAATGAAGCTATTGTAGGAAATCCACTGGGAATTCCAAATGTTTCCTTCGGCTACTTCATTCTTCCCACGGGGATTACACTTTATTGTGTGTGTAGACGTGTGTGACGCGTGTCCATAGGCCTCTTTCTTGGCAGCCACTGTTCATTGTGCAGCAATCAATGAAGACAAGTGTATTTACGTGTACCTTTCATTCATTTGGGTGAAAACACTTGGGTATTTTGACATCTAACTCATCGCGGCTTGTGAACAACACGCAACACACATTCACCAAGGACCGACTCTTGCACCGCAATCCTGAGATCATCCAACGCAGTTCTCCGATGGGATTACTATTATTGTACAAAAATTCTACAAACGTGAATAATTAAAATAATGGTATTAAATACCTTTTATCATACAACCTCGCCTCTTGACCGCCATCAGAACCGATTGCTTTTTTCGTAGATATTTTGATCTTCAAAATATTGACACTTACTTAATGGGATCCACTTACAGTAAAAGCTTCAATAATTCAATAAAAGCTAACGAAATGAATTCCCTAAGAACAATTCTTCCCACGAAATAATTTAACTGATTCCCTTGTTTCATTATTATTATTATTATTATTATTATTATTATTATTATTATTATTATTTCTTCCTTTGAAATTATAATCAAGCAGACTAGTAAATATATTTATTTCATATGGCTAACACATCAGTTACGCATTGGGAATCTTTCATTTCCGTTTTCCGGTGATTTGTAATTTTAAAGGAAGAACGAATAATCATATTCCAATAATTTCTTCTCACTTCACATTTTTTGAAATATTATGGACATTGGTATTTGTTGAAATCTAATAAAACTCCATTAACAAACATTGTGGAATACTTGTGAATTCTGAGATAAGTATAATATTGTTAAGAAATATGTTATAATTCTTAGGAACAATTCAACATTCATTTAACTCAATTAGTTGTCTTGTTATTTAGTTAATTATCTATCTTATGTTAAATTGTCTCGTAAATTAACGAGCAACAACGTTATTACAACATATCTAACCGTACAACCACATCCACAAAACCACTGGAGCGAACCGTACAATCACAAAATGAATATTAGCCATTGTTGCAGTCAATTGAATATTACGTTATGTCAGATACAATTCTCGTGTTTCCACGATCGATTAGTTCCATGTTATCAATTGCCGTTGCCTGGATTCCCACTCTGGATGATCGACGTTCACTGAAGTTCATATATTCCGTATTTCTGAATCCTCTAAGAGATTCTGGATTACGGGATTACAATTATTCCATTTAAATTTTGCAAACGTGAATAATTGAAATCCTTTCGTGACCGACGCATTGCGGCAATTCTTCGACACATATGAACACACAAGAACAATAACGGACTGGAATAATTTGCCTGCGACAGCCATGGAATCCTTTCGTCTAGGTGTACAAATATTTAAAAGTATATTAACTATGAGCATTCGTAAAATTATTAATTAGTAAGGCTTATTAAAAAAGTTATTATTTTATTATTATTGTTATTATTAGTATTGTGATAATTCCTATCAAATGCATTGCGTTGTTAAATGTAAAATTATATTTAAAGTAGTTTTAGTGTCGTGAAGTGTTGTGAAGAGTAGTGCAATAGAGAAATAGAAATACAAGTGAAGTGATGTGAAGTGAAGTGTAGAGTATTTACAGTGTATTTATTAGTTAAAATATCTGTGCAGGACAGTCATAAAAAGTAGAGTTAACGCTATTATTGTCATTATTGTTATAATATTATTATTATCTTAAAAATATTTAAAATGCATTTTATTAATATTCCTAATTGTAATATGTTAATTGTAGTGGTCTGTCATCAGGTTGTATAAACCTACCTG